CACAGCTCCAAGGTGCTGACTTTAAAGAACCACGAAATGCACTAAAAGCTTGGACCTTTCATCATCAAAATGGCTTCTTGATGCCTTCAATGGTATGAACAAGGCTCTCACCAAAAGAACCCACCAACTCAGTCCCAAAACCACCTCAAGACAGTATCTCCCACTCAGAAATGCTTCCTAACTCCCTCACAATGCTCATTAACTCAATGTTTACAACTACAATGAGGAAGACTCACAACAAAGATGGTTTCTTGGTCCCTTTTCATGAGCAAAGGCCAAGACTTTCAAGAGGAGAAGAGAAAATGGCTGGTGAGAATCAGCCACCAAAACTCACGTAGAGGCTGAATATGGCCTAGGTTTTTGTGCCCTTAGGCTTATATAGGTCCATTTAATTAATCACACAGTATTAATAATAATAGCTACGCTTAGCATTTTAATATAAAACTTTAGATTTTGAACCTAGCCAATTTTCTAAGATTTTTCATATTTTTATTTTATTTTTCGCAGTACTTTTCCGGTACGCGCTTTTACTTAGCCAGTATCAGTTCTGGCACCAGTTCTCATTATTTTGACTTGAAACTTGTTATGCTAGTCCTATATATTATTCTAGTGACATATACATACTTTTCATAATTTTCTGGGATACTTCATCGGTACGCATTTATACTGTGGAGCAGAACCGGTATCTGCAATTTTCGTCCGAAAAGTAACTTTCAACATTATTAATTACATACCATAATTATTTAAGCTTTCTCATAATTATTAGCGTCAATTATGGAATTATCTCATAAAATCACATTTACTTCCTTTAATTTCCTAAATTAACGGTGCGGGTTCTTACATCAATGAAGTTTGGCATCTTCGTTTGGGACATTGTTCTAAGTCTGTATTGAAGTCTATGATGTTACAATATCCTTTTGTTACTTGTAAAGGTATAGAAAGTCCATGTGACATTTGGCCAAACAAAGGAAACTGTATTTTTAGTCTAGTTCCAGTATATCAAAATCTACTTTTGATCTCATACATATGGATATTTGGGGGCCATATTCAGTGCCCTCGATTCTCAATCACATATATCTGCTAACAATAGTAGATGACTGCACTCGATTTACCTGGGGCATACTCATGAAAAAAAGTCAGAAACTAGGAGTCACATTCGTGATCTTGTGCATCTTATTGAAAATCAGTTTAATAAAACCATCAAAACACTTAGAAGTGATAATGGACAAGAGTTTATGATGAATGATTTTTTCTTGTAGAAAGGGAAGCATCATCATATCCTCAACACAGCAAGAGCACTTTTCTTCTAGAGTAAGCTTCCAAAGAGTTTGTGGTGCTACTGTATCACACATGCCATTCATCTCATAAACAGGCTCAACACACCAAGGCTGCAGAACAAATCACCTTATGAATTGCTTTTCAATGAGTCATCTCCTCTCATGCATCTCAAAGCTTTCGGGTGCCTTACATATGCATCAACAATTGAAGCTGGAAGGTCAAAGTTTGATCCTCGAGCAAGAAAATGTGTGTATATTGGGCATAGAAATGGAATAAAAGGATATGTGGTTTATGATTTGATGTCAAAGCAGATCCTTATTTCACAAAATGTTGTCTTCTATGAACATCATTTTCCCTTTGCTAAAGAAAAGTCATCTGATCACTTGGATATCTGGCCCATTGGTCAGCACTCAAACACTCAATATGACATGTCACTCTCATCTCAGTATGACACTACACAGCCTTCTAATGTCATACTTGTCCTTCGAGAGACACCAAGCAATGCAGATGCTTCTCACATATAAGAAATTGTAATTATGGACCCTCTGAATATGACCCTTCCAATGTCAGTACCATTTTTCCCAATGTCAGCATATCATATATTAGCACCTCTGATATCAACAATCTTCCCCAACCAATACGAAGGCGCTCTGACACGAGCTGTCGAACTCGCAGAAATTAATTAAATCAGGTTTATTAAAATTTTGTAGTAAAGTGAAAACCTGAGTCGTCTCTCAAGGAAATCGCAAGGATTAAAATCGTTGAATAAAAACAGAAAAAAAAATGGAGGATTTTTGTTTGATTTAAATTAAAAATAAAACGAGATGTAAAAGTAAAATTTCTTTAATTAAAAACTAACCAACCCGGATTAGGATTCTATAGACATCCGTTATTGGATAATTGATAATCAATTTCGTGGTTGACCCTAAATAATTCAGAATCCCTGCAATTGTTTAGGAAACCCCTCTCTAGACAATCGCCTAGCGTTTGGTCGAATATGGCGCGTCAATTTATGCAATCGCAAAATATCAACCCGATTGACTTGAGGTCATTGGGTTAATCAACCTAATCACTAAATCTAGTGATTAATCTCTTCCCAAGAACGCGATCACGTATCTCAGATTGAACATCCACAATCGCGTGATGTCAACCTAAGCTGGGAAGAGAAACGAATTTGATTCATGAAAAGCACAGATCCTTTGGATTAAAACACAGAGTCCTTAATCCTTAGGTTGATTAAGGAAAGCTTAGCCTAGCATGACTAAGGTAAACATAATTAAAAATTAAGAAGAATAAAAAGAAGAAAAAGACGAAGAACGCGAAGAACGCAAAGAGAAAACTCTTTGATCCCAAAATTCAAAAATTACAGAATGGCGAAAAGTTTCCTACTCTGCCGTCATATACCCCTACCCAAATCGGGTTAGGGGTCAGTTCTGACCGGCCCATCTGTCTATAATACGAAATAAAATAAATAAAATAAAATAAAAGTAAAACTTGGCTTTGGGCCACTTAAGTAATTGAGTTTTAATTTAAATTACAAGTCCAATAATAAAATAAAACTTCAGCAAAACGCGTCCAACTTGGCGTCAGAAATAGACCAGCTTGCATTCGAATTGGGCTTCAAGCTCTTCATAAGAATTGTAGCGCTCTGTGTTATCTGAAAAACCCAAGAAGAATGGAGTCAATCCGACAACTGTGGACCGAGATATGGCCAAAATACAGAAGTAACGTAAAGTTGAAAAATTCTGACGAAAATAAATTAAACCCAATCAAAAACTAAAAATCTAAATTAACTCATAAAATCATTATTTTATTCAAATAAATCCTAAAAATATTAATCAAGAGTAACAAATAAGTGCAATAAAATATGAGTTATCAAATTTCCCCACACTTATCTTTTTGCACTCCTCGGCAAAAACTAGAATTGAAAAAGAAAGCAAATAAATAAGAAAAGAGTGAAGATCAACCTATCCCCCCTAATAATTGTCAAGAATACAGAGTTTGAATATAGATCACAAAAATTCAACAAATCAACAAGTCAAAACATAAATTCCTTCATCTTAAATTACAGAACCTGGTAATCTCAATTGATAGAGCTGATAATGCAAAATGGTCTCTCAGATGCTCTCAATTAGTCTCTCAAGTGTATGTGGTAAATAAGTATATCACTCTAATTTTACTCAAGAAAAATTATCCTACCATAGGCTTGCTCAAGTTCTACTTCTCAACTACTAAGAATAAATGCATGCATAAATCAAGAGGACTTTATTAAAGGTTAAAATGGGGTTGGGGTGAAGGTATGGGTGAGTATGGGAAAGAAAGGTTAAACACACAGAAATTTTAAAAAAAAAAACTAGCAAAATAAAAATTGTACTAACGAAACATAACTGAAATAAAAACAGAAAAAACACAACACAAATAACTAAAAAAAATTTCTTTTATTTTTTTTTCAATTTTTTGTTTTGTTTTTTTTTCACTTTTTTTTTTGCTTTGTTTTTTTTTTCATTCATTTTTTTTTCATAGTAAAATTAACATATTAAATGACTCCTCCCCCACACTTAAAGTATTGCACGTCTCGGGCAAACCCCCACACTTAAACACAAAACTATAGTGAAACCAATGCTCAGTAAATCTCCAGGGTGGGGAATTAATTGGTTTTTAACTTAGGCTAGTTACGTAGCTAAGAAAAAGAGGATATAAGGCACAAATGGGCTAACCAAAGGGAATATAATGCAAAGGATGGCTATCTGGCTAAAGTGGAAAAATAAAAGAAAGAATGCCTCAATCATATTTATGCATGCAAATGAAAAATGTAATTTCAAAAAGAACAAGAGCAAGTTCTAGAGAACAACAATCAAGAGTACAAGCACACAAGAAAGAAAGAATGGTAGATGATAAGATCCATTTATATAGGCCAAAATTCTCACCAAAGGGTATACCAATCACATATCAGCATCACAAAATCAATTGCCAAGTTAAGTAATCAAAGAATTAAGAACTCAGCCTAACCAGAGTGATCCATCACAAGTATCAAATCCAATTCAATTATGTATGACTCAACAAATTTTAGAAAGAACAGAATAATCTACTTATTGCACCGAAAAACTAAAATTAAAAATTCAAATAAACTGAAATGTAAAGGAAATAGGGAAAATAACTCCCTGTCCTCCTTAAGGAGGATAAACAGCATCAGTGAGCAGAGCCTCTGTCTCCACAAGTTGCTTTTGGGGTCCTTCATGAACAACTTTGAGGTGATGGCCAATCATTGTGGAAGTCTTCCCCATCTGCTTATCATGCAACTTTGGGGGCTTTCTTTTCTGTGTGCATTCCTTCTTCTCTTGATCCTTTCTTCCAACCTTACGCAAACTTTTTTGCATACTAATAATAGAGGAAGAACTTTTTGGTACCCATTTCATCTTGGATCCATGAGGGTTAGGATCAAAACCATTACCAGAATAGGGAGTCTTGCCTAACTTCACATTTAGTACAAATTCAGAATTAACATTAATAGGTAAGTCATAATCCACAGGTAATGCACAATCACTAATCAATTCAGAATCAACCTTATCAGCCACATCATGAATCACTTTTATGCATGAAACTGAATGATCAACCTGAACCTTAGAATGCTTCAATAAATCAAATATACTAAAATGTACAATGCTATCACCAAATTCCATGGAAAGAGTCCCAGCATGCACATCTATTTTGGTCCTTGCAGTTTACAAAAAGGGCATCCCAAGTATGATTGGGGGCTTACTACTAGGAGACTCACCCTCCATATCTAAAATATAAAAGTCAGTAGGAAATATCAGGTTATTAAGTCTGACTAAAACATTTTCAATTAAACCAGAAGGGTGAGCATTGCTCCTATTGGCTAACTGGATAACAACACCAGTAGCACACAAAGGACCAAGACCAAGAGACTTATAAACAGACTCAGGCATGACATTAATGGAAGCGCCTAAATCTAGCATGCAATCATCAAATATACAACTTCCAATAATGCAGGGAATAGTAAATGTACTTGGGTCTTTGCATTTCTCAGGCATGGGTTGGATGAGGGCTGATACATTGCGGCTCACGCTAACAATCTCGTCCCCCTTTAGTCACCTCTTATTGATCCATAATTCTTTTAGGAATTTGGAATATTTTGGAATCTGATTGAAAGCATCTAAGAGAGGAATGTTAACTTCAACCTTCCTGAATGTGTCTAGCATCTCTTTTTCTTGTGCTATTTCTGCCAATTTCTTGGAATTGATGGCTCTTTGAGGGAAGGGAAGCGGAACGGAGAACTCAAGTTCATTATCAAATTTTTTCTTCTCTTGCGCTGTCTTATTTTTTTCCAATGCTAGTTCATCCTCAACTGTAGCTTGTTGGGGCTCATTTAGTTGCTTGCCTGACTTCAGAGATATAGCGCTGACATTTGCATTCCCTTTTGGATTTGGAACTGTTTGCGAAGGAAGAAAACTGCTGGAATTTTGAGGTTGAACCTGACTCATTGATGTTGCTAACTTGCCAATCCGTGTTTGCAGGTTCTGAATTGTAGATTCGGTCCGCTGCTGGAATTGCAAGTTACTCGTCGTCATCAGTTTCACCAAATCTTCTAGTGAAGGACCGCAATTGCTCTGCTGTTGGGCTAGTGTCTCCTGTTGCAATTGATGTGGAGGTACAGCATGCTGGATATTTTGCCTCTGCTGATAAGGAGGAAGGCTCTGCTGGTTCAGATTCTGATTCCACTTCAAGTTGGGATGATCCTCCCAGCCAAGATTGTAAGTATTGGAGAAGGGATTGTATTGCTGCTGTTGATACTGCGATTTTCCAAGGAAAACTCCTACTGCAGCTACTGTCTGGTCAACTAGAGGGATGCTATCATGAAAGGAGGGGCAGACATCCGTGGGATGAAGAGGATTACAGCAGATGCCACACGGGTTGCTCATCTGGAGTGGGAGGCTGCACTATCTGTGTTACTGCCAATTGTCTCACCAGCGAGTTTAACTCATCAAGCTTATTTTCAATTCCTTGATTCTCCATGCTTGATGCTACTGTAGGAGCTGCTGAAGATTGGACTGTAGATTCTTGCACTTGGAACACCACACTGTTGTTGGCTCTGGTGCCAAATTGCTGAGCATTGGCTGCCATCTCTGCAATCAATTCTTTTGCAGCAACACGTGTTTTATTGACTAGGACTCCACCACTAGCTGCATCTAAAAGATTTCTGTCCATGGGAAGCAACCCTTTATAGAAGTACACAATCAACAGTTGATCTGGGATTTGATGGTGCGGGCAGCTTGCACACAGCCTCTGGAATTGCTCCGAGTACTCATGCAAGTTCTCCTCATTTGCTTGCCTTATGCCACTTATTTCCTTTCTGATCGAAGTGGCTCTTGAAGATGGGACGAATTTTTCTAGGAAGTGTCTGGCCATATCATTCCAGCTTCCAATGGAGGATGGCTGCAGGTAGTAAAACCAATCCTTAGCTCCACCATCTAAAGAAAATGGAAAAGCCCTCATCTTGATTTGCTCCTCATCTACTCCTTGTGGCTTCATAGTACTGCATACCACGTGGAACTCCTTCAGATGCTTATGAGGATCCCCACCTGCAAGACCATGGAACTTTGGCAGCAAATGAATCAAACCAGATTTTAATTCAAATGCAATACTTAAATCAGGATAACGAATACATAGTGGCTGATAATTTTCAACATCAAGTTCAGCCAATTGTTTCAAACTTTTGTTATCCATGATTTCAGAATTAACTAGAGAATCACTAGAAGAGGTAAAATCTACTCTATTAAAAGAACTAGAACAATTAAAATCAGTATGTTCAGAAATAGGATCAAGTTCAGTAATTCTACTATAAGTCAACATACGAGCTCTTCTAGCAGCATGCAATGTTGTCTCTATTTCAGGATCAAATGCAAACAGATCATTAACATTGATATTACTCTTAGTCATGCATCATAGGCGCAGGCAGAAAGCAAGAATTGTTACCGAACATACAAAAATACGCGAAACTTATGAAAAACAATGAAAATAAATATAGAAAAAATAGCAAACGATTTTTAAAAATTTCGAGACCACCACACAAAAATTCTAATTGATCCTAGGAACTCAAAAATCAAATAAAATATTTTCAAAAAATAAAATAAAATAGTAAACAAAAGAATTTGACAGGAATGATCGTCTCCTTTAGCTCACCAATTTTCAGAGCGACCAGAGCAAGTCGAACAAGTTCAGAAATACCCGATACGTTCTGAAACAACAAATAAATAGCAAAAAGGGTTAGTAAACGACTGAATTTCGCGAAATAAAGGGTGACCTCACTCCCTTTTTGGGAGTGATTTTTGCTCAGAAAGGTCGAATTCCTTTTAGAATTGAAACTTTGAGAACGATCTGGATAAGACAGTCGTCTTCCCAATCACCAAAAACACCCAAAATCGCGGAAAAAAATTAAATAAACTAAAACGATTAATAACCTATCTTACAAAAATAGAACAAAAAAAATAACTAAGAATTGAAGAAAAATATGGTCAGATTAAAAAGGATTAATATTCAGAACAAAAATAAATAAATAAATAAATAAATGATAAAAACCGATGCGATTTCCCCGGCAACGGCGCCAAATTCGACACGAGCTGTCGAACTCGCACAAATTAATTAAATCAGGTTAATTAAAATTTTGTAGTAAAGTGAAAACCTGAGTCGTCTCTCAAGGAAATTGCAAGGATTAAAATCGCTGAATAAAAACAGAAAATAAAATGGAGGATTTTTGTTTGATTTAAATTAAAAATAAAACGACATGTAAAAATAAAATTTCTTTAATTAAAAACAAACCAACCCAGGATTAGGATTCTATGGACATCCGTCATCGGATAATTGATAATCAATTTCGTGGTTGACCCTAAATAATTCAGAATTCCTCCAATTGTTTAGGAAACTCCTCTCTAGACAATCGCCTAGTGTTTGGTCGAATATGGCGCGTCAATTTATGCAATCGCAAAATATCAGCCCGATTGACTTGAGGTCATTGGGTTAATCAACCAAATCACTAAATCTAGTGATTAATCTCTTCCCAAGAACGCGATCACGTATCTCAGATTAAACATCCACAATCGCGTGATGTCAACCTAAGTTGGGAAGAGAAACAAATTTAATTCATGAAAAGCACAGATCCTTTGGATTAAAACACAGAATCCTTAATCTTTGGGTTGATTAAGGAAAGCTTAGCCTAGCATGGCTAAGGTAAACATAATTAAAAATAGAGAAGAAGAAAAAGAAGAAAAAGACGAAGAACGTGAAG